TGGCAGAGGGCAACAGTTCATGGTGGCAGAAAACAGCAAAAGCAGCAAGAGCAAAAAGCAGGGAGCGGCAGAGAGCAAACTTCTTTCCCTCACTTATACTGTATGCTGGCTGCTCGCCCCAGGGCAGGTGTAGCGTCATACCCATAATCCCAGCATCGGACCATGAGTCAATCAAAAACTCTAGAAGCCTGTACCCATGGCTGCATGAGGCTTTGGGGGGACATCCAGACACAAACCACAACAGATAGTTTATCCTTATTCTCATCTCTCCCAAAGCTTTTCATTTCCCTTATGTTCTTTTAGACGTCATGCATATACTTAGGGTTTTGGGAGGCAGAACTATAACCACAGTGATTTTATCAATACTGAGTTGTGATGCTAAATATCTGTATTCTCAAGCTATAGGAAAAAAGTTATCCATCAAGTTGTGGCTATGGAAAGGGGGTTATTCCTGTTGGTAACCCTGAACTAGGGCTGGAAGAAGGGTGTGGATGAGAGCTGACGCCATGGGGCACCTGTCAGCGTCAAGAGGGACCACGGGCCCAAGCTGCCCTTTCGCGCCACTCTTAGTATTGCCTTCCGGGTGTACCTTCCCTTCTCCACTGTCATTAAAGCAAGAAGTAACGATGAACTGGTAAGAGTTGAGGACAAATGGTAGCTGGAACTGTTCACCTTTCTGGTCACCAGGTCCTGATGTTCTTACTTGAGTTCAAAGGAACTTAGTGCCTGCTGGGGCTTGAATGTGTTCCTCAAAGTTATGTGCTAGAAACTTAATACCTAATGCAGGCATTGAGAGATAGGACCTTTAGAGGTGATTAGGTCACAAGAGCTTGGCCCTGGTTTGTTATAAAGTGAGTTAGGCTCCCTCTTGTACTCTTGTCCGTCTACCTTGCACCATGGGGTGACACAGTACAAAGACCCTTGCCAAATGCTGGCTTCTCCATCATGGACCTCTTAGTTTCCAGAACTGTAAGAAATCTCTATCCTTTATAAAATCCCCGATGTCTGGTATCTGCTGTAGGACCATACAACAGATTAAGTGCCAAAGAACTGGTGGTTTTGTTTTTGTATAGACCAGAAGCATAATGCTTCTTCTTATTTTTTGTTTATTGAGACAGGGTATCACTATGTAGTCCAGGCTGCCCTTAATTCACAACCCTCCTGTCTCAGCCTCCCAAGTGCTGGGATTACAGGCATGTGCCACCACACCCACCTTTAAAATTTTTTTATTGTGATAAAAAGCATGTAACATAAAGCTTACCATCTTACCCATTTTTACATGTACAGTTTGGTCATATTATTACATTCACAATGTTGTTGAGAACTTTTTTTTTTCCGGTACCAGAAATCAAACTCACGACCTCGTGCTTGCCAGGCAGGCGCTGTGCCACTGAGCTAAATCCCCAGCCCCTGTCCAGAACTTTTGCATCTTGCAACTCTGAGACTCCAAGCCTATTAAACAATAGTTTTCCATTCTACCTTGTCCCTAGGCCCTGGGAACAGCCTTTCTACTTTGTTTCTCTGAATTTGATTACTCCAGGTATCTCATATGTAGTATTTGTCTTATTTTGACTGGCTGATTCCTCTAAGTATAATCTCCTCAGGGTTTAACCATGTGTGACAGGATTTTCTTCCTTTTTAAAGATGAATAATATTCCATTGTTTGTATATACCACAATTTACTTACCCATTCATCTGTGTTTTTTGTTTTTGTTTATTTAGCCATCCTGGGGATTAAATCTAGGGTCTTTACACTCCAGCTACATTTTTTATTTTTTATTTTGAGGCAGGGTCTCACTAAGTCATAAAGATGTCTGGGCTGGGCTCAAACTTGTGATTCTCCTGCCTCAGCCTCCCAGCGTCTTGAGATTACAGGCATGTGCCACCATGCTGAGCTGCATTCATTTGTTGATGGATGCCTGGGTTGCCTCTGCCTCTTGGCTGCTGTGAATAATGGTGCCATAAGTATGGGTGTAGAACCATCTCTTTGAGTTCCTACTTTTAGTTCTTTTGGCTATATATATCCAAAAGTGGGATTGTGTAATTCTGTGTTTAATTTTTTGAGGAATCTCTGCACAGTTTTCCCCAGTGGCTACACCATTCTCTATTCTCACCAGCAGTTCACAAGGATGATAACTGTTCTTATGTAGCGGAGCACGGACATCAGGGCAACCTGGCATTTGGCATTCCTAAAAACATCTGCTGCAAGGGATAGCTCTGCACCAAGCCTCATTATTTAGTAGGATCATTAAGTGCTCCAATGGAAAGGTACAATTGATTTGATAGGTACAGTTGTGGCGTTCACTTTTCCAGCTGGCAAAGAAGCATGGCATGGTGGTGATATCCCCCATCCTGGAACGAGACCATGACCATGGGGATGTTCTTTGGAATACAGCTGTGGTGATCTCCAATTCTGGAGCAGTCCTGGGCAAGACTAGGAAAAACCACATCCCACGAGTGGGTGACTTCAATGAGGTAAGCTGCCCCTCGGATGACCGGCCCAGCTTGCTTGCCCTGCTTCCATGTACAGACCTCGCCAGGCCCTTTCTGTGTGGGGTACTGTCACCTCGGGTGATGCGGCAGCACAGCGTGGCGGTGGTGCTCAGAAGGTCTCATGACATTGCCCTGCGTCACACAGGCAGGTGGGGTTCATGTGGGACTCGGGTGAGCCCCAAACACCTTTAGCACAGTAGGGTTTATATATATATATATAATATATATTA